ATATATGTTATATTGCTACATTTAAACTACTGTTGAAAAGGAAATAAAAAAGCTAGTGTTTATCCAACACTCACTGAGAAGTGTACTTGTCACAGTGCAACATAATATTCATCCTCTTATTTAATCTCCCAGATAACCCTATGAAATCTGTAAAAATGAAAATGAGATTTAAATGGTTAAGTGACTTTTTCCTAGCCTATGCAGCTAATACACAGAATGTCCTATCTGTGTTAGCGAGGCTGTCTACTATTTATTTAATCTGATTCGGTTTTTTTATTTTCCTATAAAATGGGATGGTTATTAAACCTCCTCTATAGGCTTCTTATAAGGATTAGATGGGATTAATCCAATACAAGCATGTACATGTTGCTTGGAACTTAGTGCATATTCAATAAATATAAGTTGTTATTAGGATGGTTATTTAGCAAAACTAGAATTGGAGCTCAATTTATTCTACTCCAGTCTGAATTCTTTCTAGTGACTTTCACGTGAGCAGTCAATGAACTTCACTGTATCTGTCAGGATGTCCATAGATGCAACATCTGGCAAAGTGGAAATTTAAAACCTGAAGGAGTTAAAGTAAGTTATGTATTTGTTAAGAATTCAAGATGTTTACAGCACCATGCTTGATACTACAGGAGAAGATTGATACATAGGTAGGTAGGTAGATAGATATATAGATAGATAAATAGACAGATTCTTAAATTCAACTTTGACTAAAGACCAGCACTTATATGCAAAGCCCTGAGCTAGACATCTGAAGAAGCACCTGATAAACCCCGCTGAAGAAGGGAATTCACATAGATATGATTAAGCATGACTTAAGCATGATTAAGTCGCCTTGGGGACGTGCTGACAGAAACCCAGAGGAAGTTCTATGAGAGCCCAGAGGAGGGAGCCCTGCAGGCTGGTGGGGCACAGTGTAATGAAGGTTCTCTGAGCAGGGGCTGAACTGACACTTAAAGATCCTGGGCTGTGAAACATTCTAATCTTGGAGGAAAGACATAAACAGGACACCAAGAACAATGCAAGCTCCTATCTCACTTAATTCCAGATTCTACAAGACAGACAATGCCCTAGGAATTCTGACATGAGAATAATTTACCTGTCTTGGAGTAAAAAAGAGATAGTGAGTAGGTTCTGAAGGAGGAAGAGAGGGGGAGGGAGGGAGAGAGGGAAAGAGGTTGAGGAGTAAAAGTAAATCTGTGGAAAGGAAAAGGGTGCCCTTTTATTGAGCACCTACTAGTCATGTAGCCCACTAATCTAATCCTTATGACAGTCTGCAATAAGGTCACAGAGACTCAGAAAAATAAAGCAAACTTTTGGGAAGGTCATAGGAACCCAGGTCATGGTGACTCTGAAACTTGTTCTTTGAGCCACCCTTACCATTCAAACCCTTTCCATTTTGATTTGCACTACTAACTTCCAATAGAACCATATTCTCTCCCTGGCAATACACATGGATTTTACCTATTGCCAAATAAAATGAATATAGAGAAGTATATCCTAAGCATGAAGGAACAGAATAAGAGAGGTTTAGACAAAAAACATTCCCCAAAACTTAAGGGAATCCATGAAAAGAAGGGGTGGATGGGTGGGAACTGACCACATATAAGACAACTTATATGGAAACTATTGCCATTTGGAGGCATGATTGTATTTTAGATTTAGAAGGGATCTTAGGAATCTGTCCTTTCATTTCACATAAGAACAATGTGAGATCCAAAGATCTCACACAGGTCAGAATTAGACCCTGACTCACCTGACTCTCAAACGATTGCATTTTCTACCACAAAGCGTGAAAAGCTGGGGGGAAATCCACAAAAGATCAAGTAATAAAGGAAAAGAAAGGAATCGCAGCACATGATAAAAGATTATATATAATTTAAAAGATCAAACATATAGCTCATTGATTTGAGTGGGTTGTGAGCCAAAAGTTATAATTCATCTAATTCTATTCACTCAGTTTAAAACAAGTAAATACATATGTAATGCATAAAAAACAAAAGTGGCTTCTGAGCCTGTTAGGACAAAATGGAAATTGTATGACAAATGAATAGATGAGCTAAAGGCTTTGCCAAATTGTCCCAATACATTTAGGTCAAGGAACTCAACAATCTGTACCACAGGGGCTGCTTTGCCCCTTCCTTTTCCTGCCTGCCACAGGCTAGAAATAACTTGGCCTCCTCATTATTTGCTTGTCTTTAAGGACCTAAGGAGCATATAGTCCTTAATAACAGTAGAATAGATGATAGTTTATATACCTATTTTATAAAGAGCATGTTTACAAAGAGCATGTTATCATTTGCCACTGAGCATATTTTATCCATAAAATAAATTTGTGAAGTAGATACTGCTGCTTGAAAGGTAAGGAGGTGGAAGGGTAGAGAAATGAAGTAACTTACATAAGGACAGAGTGCAGATATGTGTTGGAGGGAGAAGGAACTAGAATTGAAAGCCTCGTGCTCTCAGTCCTGGTTGGAGAGTTAATAAAATCCCAAATGACTGAGAATATTCAAAGCTATTGCACACAATGACTTAAAAAGCCCCCTGGAAGCTCCATGGGTTCCAAATGCAATTTTAATTACCACAATTGAAGTGAATCAGTAAGTCATGCCCCAATTTTCACTGGGGAGGAAGGGAGATTTTGAATGATATAATTTATGTAGTCCACATAGTTCTCTGTTTATTGAATGAAAACCTCATGACTTATCAGGGTGACTGGAATTACAGAAAGTGAGAGATTTGCCTAGGCAAATTCTTTATCCAAGCCTTTGTGTACACAAAATCCTATTTCTTCCAGACAATCTCTGAAAGCACATTTAGGATATAGCATGATTTTCATTTTATAACTGGAGAAACTGAGTTCAAACATTCTTGGCCTAAGACTATATGGCAAGTTCTTCCCAAACCAGGAAGATGTGAAACTGGTATATCCCATTTTCAGATTGGTGCCATGATCCCTGAGTACCACATTCCAGCTTTTATGGAGGGGATGTCTGAGTCATTTGCTCATCTTGCAAATCTTTATACTTTTTCCCGCACATATTCTCCACTGATTTTTCTCTTTCCCTGAAACATGTAGTGATGCCCAGGTCTCTGGAAGGATCTGAAACAGCTCTGAGGATAGGAAGACCATGGGGAAGAAAGTCACCAATTAATGGCATTAACTTCACCTCAGGTAGGGAGCACACTGTCCATATGCTACCCTTACACAGTATATTTCTACCACTCCACTACTGAACACACCGGCAACTAACCATTTGAAATTCACCAGTGCTAACTCATTTTGACTTATTAAACATTTGGAGGGGGAAAAAAAAAAAGGAGAACTGTTTTGCCATAAGGGGGAGCTTTTGAGTTCCATAAAGAGGGGGAAAAAGAAAAAAATAATAATATATACGTCCCAGTTCAAAAACAGAGCCTCAAAGCAGCTAATGGTCCCATCCTTACCTGTGACATGGACAGTGTCAGAGTACCTGAGTTGCTAGGTTGAAATTAGGTAAATTCACATTTCCTCTCATTTATATGAAATTAAAATGATTTCTAACAACCAACAGAATATTTTTAAGACTATTCGGGGAAATTTAGAGACCCAGTTTTGCTGGGTCTATAGAAAGGCAGATGTCCTTGAAAGTGGCTCTTTCCTCTGCTGTCTTCTGATGACTCCATGAGGATTTTGAATACAACCTTTGGGTTAACTGAAGCCTGCAGCTGGCACCATCAGGGGGGCTCAGGGTAGAGGGGGACCCTTCATCACTGCATAACTTTAGGAAAATTCCGAGAGGGCAAAGTAGAGAGAAAGAACAAGAAAGGCAAAAAAGAAGAGGAAGGAAAGGGGAAAGAGGAAGAGGGAGAGGAATGGAGAGGAGGGAAAAAAACAGAGTGAAAGAGAAGGAAAGTGAGAGAAAGAAAGGAAGAGAGGGAAAGAGTGAGGGAGGGAAAGAGAGATAGATAGAGAGAGAGAGAGAGAGAGAGAGAGAGAGAGAGAGAGAGAGAGAGAGTTAGAATGAAATAAGAATTTTTAAAATCTGAGAATCAAGTTTCAGGACTATGTGCTATGGAAAAGGAGGCGGTTTACCAGCAAAGTGCAAAGGGGATCCTATGAGAAGAGATAGATTTTTCTCCCGCCAAGAGGAAAAAAATAAAGGAGGGTGGGTTATGAGGAAGGGGGTGGAAAAAGCAAGCAAAACAAAACAAAAACAGGAATGTGTGTTTTGAGCAGGAATGAGGAGAGCTGGGAGAACCGTAAGGGGGTGTGTACAGAATTTCATTAAATTGTTACTTTAAGATTGTCTTCTTAAAAAAAAAAAAAAAGAGGGGGTGGAGAAGCGGAACGAAGGAAAGGAGGCGAACGGCAAAGTGGAGGAAGGCTGGGTAACTCGGCCTCTCCAAAGTGATTGATTAGTCATGATTCCCGCAGTTTTAACAGGGACTCATTCAATTGGGAAGGTGGAGCGCTCGGGAGGAGATTAGCATACGCTTGTTTACTCATCTTCTGAGGGATTTTTTCCCCCTCTTTCCTTTCATTTTGTGAAGAAGGAGGGAGGGGAGGGGGGACGGGGGGAGAAGGGGGCTGTGGCTTGTGTTATAAAGGACGCAAAAAATAAATAAATTAGAGCATCTTTTGGGGGGAGGGAATTCAGCGGATCAGTGTCTTAGAGGAGCTTTTTTTTTTTTCAGAGCTAGAATTCATATAAAATAAAATGAAATAAAACAAGGAGGAAGGCAACCAGCTGTTAGAGGGGGGAATAAGGCAGATAAAGGAGCAGGGAGAGAAATTAATTGCCAACCAGGAGGAGTTGGACTGTATTTTTCAAAGGTGGGGGGAGTGGAGCACACACCTTGAGGAGGAAAGCGAGAAAGAAAAGAAAAAAGCAAGTGGAAGGGGGGGCTCGCCCAAGAAGGGAGAGAAGAAGAAAGTCGAGGCGCCGAGGCTCCCAAAGCTGGCAGCTCCGGGCGGCGGTGCAGGGGCGAAGGGGGGGGGGGGACCGTCGGACATGCGGCTCTGGAGTTGGGTGCTGCGCCTGGGGCTGCTGAGCGCCGCGCTGGGCTGCGGGCTGGCCGAGCGCCCCCGCCGGGCCCGGAGAGACCCGCGGGCCGGCCGCCCCCCGCGCCCCACCGCCGGCCCGGCCACCTGCGCCACCCGGGCGGCCCGTGGCCGCCGCGCCTCGCCGCCGCCGCCGCCGCCGCCGCCGCCGGGCGGTGCCTGGGAAGCCGTGCGCGTCCCCCGGCGGCGGCAGCAGCGGGAGGCGAGGGGCGCCGCCGAGGAGCCGAGCCCGCCGAGCCGGGCGCTCTATTTCAGCGGGCGAGGCGAGCAACTGCGCCTCCGGGCCGACCTCGAGCTGCCCCGGGACGCGTTCACGCTGCAAGTGTGGCTGCGAGCCGAGGGGGGCCAGAGGTCTCCAGCGGTGATCACAGGTAGGCGAGGGCGCCCAGGCGGGCGCTGCACCGTCCCAGCCACTCCAGGGGCGCGCGGGTTCTTAGGCGCGGGTGACGGGCGGGTTGGGGTCTCGCGGGTGTATCTGCGGGAGCCGTCCCGCGAGCAGCCCTGGGACACCCGGGTCGAGCTACGAGCCTTACTTTGCCCCATCTGCTGAATGGGCGCGCTTGGAAGGCGTAGGTGCCTGGCCCCATGGGAGCTGCGTGGGGAGCGCTCCTCGCCTGCTGAGACCCTTAATTACCAAGGGCTGGTCCCCTGGGAGTCCCCGATGCAAGTCAGCCCTGTTCGGGATGGTCAGATGTACTCTGTCTCTGTTTGGGAAGGAGGGGAGGATGACCCAATTGGGTTGCATGCGAAAGGAGGCTAGGGAACTGTTTATTTCTCTGACTTTTTGATGGAGATGAGCCCCTTCATTGGCCCCGCTACCCCGAAAGCCCACGGGAACCAGGTTGTTGTGATTGCTAAACTTAGAAGTCTCCAAAGAGCCCCAAAGTTGCTCTCTGCTTGAAGCCTGCCTCTGAGACCCCCCGCCTCCCCTCACCCACTCACACTCTCCAGCCACACACAGTGCCATCCCATGTCCTTGCGTTAAAGCCCGATGCCTGTCATCCGGGCTGGGGAGAGACCTTTCCAGCGCACATCCCGCCAGCCTCACCCAGACTCGGCTGCGAAATGGGGCGCTTTTCTCATTTGGGACTTTTATGAGCCCTTAATGAATTTGAGTTCTCCCTTCTTACCCTCCCTCTTTCTCCCCTGCGCTTTTCCACAGCAAAGCCTCTAGTGAAACCGGACACTTTGCGAGGGTTGCAAACCTTAGAAATGTTCCAACATCCATTCTCCCCCACCTCCGCCCCAAATGAATCTGTGGAAATGCCTTTAATAAAACGGGGGGGGGGGGCGGGCGGGGAAGCCCTAGAGGAGAGAAGGAAAGTTTTGCCTCCTCTGTCTGGGAGATTCCCTTCCTGCACAAACAGTCTTGCCGTGTCCTGGGCCGTCTTAAAGTGAGAGTAGGGGTTCCCCCTTCGCTGCAGCCCGGAAGCGTGTGGAGGCGTTTTGCGATCCCACCCCTTTACACACTTTCTTGGGAGGGAAAGCTCCGAGCTTTTTGGAAAGTCTGCTATCTCCTATCTTTCCCTGTCTTGGACTTTTTCTAACACTGCGCTGACTCTCATTTACATGAAGTCCACTCAGGGGACCCAAACTCTGCTGTTACACTAATGAGATGCCCTCGCAAAGCCCCCACTTTCTAGCTACCTAAAGAGAGCAAGAACACTTTCCTCACATACAACTGACGTCATTGCAAGCTATTTTTCCGGGAAAGGAGAGGGAAACAGAGCTTATTCACATTTCCTAGTCAGTCAGAGAAGGGTATAATATGGAGCAGAGGCTACCCTATTCAAAATAATAACGATGATAATTTAGGTCTGCTTCTCTTTCCATATAAATGAAAAGCACAGTTTGCTGCTTGGAGGTGATAAAAAAATTTTTTTTAAGTAGATCTGGTTTTTCCTGATCTTTACCTGACCTATCAATGATTCGGAAGGCTTCCCCTCTGGAGAAGAGACCCCAGAGTTATACAGGTATCATCCGTGAAAAGATGGAAAGATAGTGATTGAATGAATACATCTATATCTATATCTATATATCATTATATATATATATATCTCCCTCGGATTGCACGGGAGACTGCTTTATAAGTGTCTATAACTCAGACAAGGGTCTCGTCACATCGTTCTCTTGAACACTCAATTCACTCTCACACAGAGATTGTTGCAGTAAAATACTTTAATTGGATGGGGGACGTTAGGTTATTATTGCTTCTATAAAATGCCTGGTCCATTTTATGTGTGGAAATAACATTCCTCTCAAAAGGGGAGTGGGGGGCGGGAGGCACGGCTGTCGTGTAGCAGCAGAAAGCCAGGAGCTTTTCTCCCGAGGATTCTGGTGGATTTTTCCCCTCCCCTAGTTGAGTCAGGGCCAGATTTGGCGGTGTGTAAACACCTGGCCTGGAGCCAGGAAAGACTCATTCTGCAGTATCCTCCACACGGTACAGACTGTTGGACTAAAAAGAACCTGCTTCTCCTTGAATTCAAAAGCAAATAAACAGAGGTTCTTTGCAGAAGTACTTTTTCAGCTCCCTCCGTGAAAATTCGGGTTGGGAGACGCAGGACTGTGGTGGGTGCCAACGCGCATCCTCCGACTGCGACCTCAGGTGCCCAGTTGGCTGCCTGACCTCTGCTGGCTTCCTCTGGCTGGGCGTCACCACTTTCGCAGGAATCCCTGGTCACCTATCTCCAGAGCAGTCATCGCTCAGCAGGGACCGCACTGCTATTTCAGGCAGAGGGCTGCTGCCTCGCTGTCAGGCCAGGCTGCCTTACATCACTCTGCTGCAGGATTCAATTGGGTTTCGCAAAGGTCTAATTTTACGGTGTTGTTAACCGGGTCTGTAGTCTGGCAGAGGCAGGCCCTGCCGCTCCTGGTAGGCGGGTGTGCTCCCAGATCCGCCCGCCTGGGATGCTATTTCTGCCCCGGTTCAAACTTCAGGGACTCCAGTTCAGACTGGATGGAGCTCCAAGGCAGAGGGAAGGAGCGAAGGAGCAGTGTGTTCTAAAGCTCAGAAAACAAGCCTTTTATTTTTCTGAAACGGAAGGAGAGTATATATATATGTGTATATATGGAATGGCTTATGCAGGCAAAGCCAAAGTCAAATTTAGAAAGTGCCTGTGTTGGGCATGATTGTCTGGAGCCCTGCCCCCACGACACCCCCACTCCCGCACCCCCAAGGATGAGAAATCCTTAAGGCTAAGGGTGCAGGGTCCTCGAACATTACTCAAGCCAGTTATCCTTTTGGCCAAATGGGGAGAGACACAGAAAGGGGCAGGATGTGTGCTAGATGACACAGCTCCACAGTGGCAAAAACCGGGATTTAATCCCTGGCATCCGAACTTCCAGACCTTGCCCCCTACATGGCTGAGAGAACTTGTCTCATAAACACCATCACCTCTCACCCCACACAGTCCCACCACCCAGGCTCTGTCTTCAGCCTTCCTTGTGGGATAATGTGGGCTTCCTTTCACGTGGGGTGAGGGGATCTGGAGTCAGACCCCTGCCTCTCCTCCCCAACTGTGCCCCCACATCCCTCTGGCCTGAAAGAAAAAGAAAACAATAGATTCAACTTGCTCCATGGAGCAGAGGCCCTGAGCAGTAGTTAATCTTGTTAAAGTTTCTTCTGACCTGTAAGATAAGTGAAATGTGGACCCCACAAGAGCTGCCTTCCTCCCACCTGAGTCCCCACTCCCCCACTTCTCTTAGGGATCCAGAATTCCAGCTCAGGAAAAATGGATTTACCTGAATCCCACCCAGCCCCTCAGCTGCCAGCCTTTTTTGTTTTGTTCTAAATGTTGGAATGGATTAACTTTGCTGTAAATCCATTCCCCTTCTGTAGCCCACTTCCTACTTCTCACTCAACCCTTCCAAAAGCCTTAGGGCTGGATTTTAAGATGTTCATCTTATAACACGGTGGTTTACCCTTAATATCTATATTCTCCCCTGGGATCTAGAATATTGCAGTGGTCAGAACTCAATTTCAGTGGCCAGGTTAACTAAGTGTGAATGCACCTTCACCCTTAACTAGGTGTGTCATCTTGGGCCTAACTTCTCTGGGCTCTACCTTCCTCATCCACAAAGTGGAGGTGAATGAGCACTATGTCATAGGGTTATATGAATGTTAAGTGCTTATACCTGCTACGTGCTTAGAACCTACCCTGGTAGATGAAAAGTACTTAGCAAACTTCAGTCTTCTTAGACATGGTTTTCCAAACATCTAAGCTTTGGCCTTTTGAGCTGAGGACACCTAAAGGCAGGAAGGAAACCTGCTCTCCATGAGTGCCTGCAAGATGTCAAGCACTGCACTGGGAACTTGCCTCATGCTCATACATTTCACCTTCCCAGCATCCTGGGAGGTGGGCATCACAGACCCTACTTCACAAAAAGGAGAGTTGAAGAGGCTTCATCCAAAGTCCTACAGTCCCTCTGGTGGGCAGAGCACACACGGGAACTCAAATACACCTGTATTGTTTGTTAGCAGTCTTTTGGAAGAAAAAAAGAAGTGACACATGTTGTCTTCCTTAATTCTGCAGCAGAATGTTTCTATTCCTTTTTTCATTTTTATGTGTCTACCTTCCACAGATTAAAGAGGATGAGTAATAGGGGGAAAGCCTCACCCTGAGATATAGATGTGACCTAGCAAATCTATTTTTTCTTTTTCTTTTCTTATCAAATAATCAGACACACTGGGCCTAGAATTTCTTTTACCAATTTTTTTTTTGGTGTGTAATCTGACTTGTCATTTCATCTTTCTATCCCTTGGCTTGCTCCTCTGTAAAATGGGCACAATGATTTCAAGATATTTAAATGATATCAACATGAAGAAACTACCTTGTACATTGTGTCAGCTTATATTAGGGACTTCATCAAAGTTATCTGGATCTAGCAAATAGCTACAACTCCCCCCCCCCCTTTCCACTTTACTAGCTTTGTCTTCTGGTAGCAGGGCTATTTGTGCAATACTCATTTAGTTACTGAGTTATCTATACTGGTCAATGTATCTTGGGGAATAATTAGACTCCTTCAAATGTCTCCTTTTCACTTTTTTCTCTTCTTTGATCTTGGTAGGAAGAGCCAAAAGAGGCCCAGAATCACTGATACCAGTAAATAAGAAAACCAGTTGGCATTAAGGGGAAGTATGCAGCCCCAGGAACAGAAGCCAGACAATGGTCACAGATCTTGTGGCACTTATCTCTTCTTCCTTCCCCAACAGCCTTTCAAACTCTCATTTTTCCTTATGCTGCCATTCAGTGGGCATAAGAGTGACTGAGGCTGCACAGCTCTTTCCTGTCTGTGCAGAGGAAAGTGACCTTAAGGCCTAATGTGTAGAAGAGCTCAGGAGTGTGGGTCAGTGTTGGCCAGCTCAGGTATA